GGCGCCCGAGGCCGCCCGGGCGGGGACAGAGCGGCCGGAGCTGCCCGCGGCTCCTCCGGCCCGGCTCGGCTCGGCTTCCGGGCCGCCGCTGTTCCTGCGAAGGGCAAGCTCGGCCGGGCCATGTGCAGCTCTGTGGGTGTGCGGGGCTGGCGCTGCTCGCGGTGTAGGCGGGGAATGCCGGAAGGATTCACAAAGTCGCACAGCGGTTTGGTTGGGAGGGACCTCTGGTGATCCTCCAGTCCACCCCCCTGCCAAGGCAGGGTCGCCTGGAGCAGGTGGCACAGGAGCGTGTCCAGGTGGGGTTTGAATGTCCCCAGAAGGGAGACTCCACGATCTCCCATGGCACCTGTGCCTGTGCTCTGCCACTGTGAGGCTCTTCCTCGTGTTGAGGGGCAACTTCTTGTGTGCCATTGCTCGTCATCCTGTCACTGGGCAGCACTGAAAGAGTCTGGCGCCATCCTCTTGGCACCCACCTTTGAGATACTGACATGCATTCATGTGATCCTCTCTGTGGTCTCCAGACTAAACAGGCCCAGCTGCTGCAGTCTCTCCTCATAAAAGAGATGCTCCAGACCCCAAATAACCTTTGGGGGCCTCCACTGGACCCTCTCCAGTAGTTCCTTGTCTTTCTTGCACTGAGGAGCCCAGAACCACAGTGTGCTTTCTCACTTAATATGCAGATATTCTGCATATCTGTTTTTATCTTCTTCATAGCAGATTTTCTTCCAATGCAGAAAAGAGTTTTGTCAATTATATCTTACAATGTAGAGACTTGTATTTTGTATTTTTTAATCCAAAATTATTTTTTTATGTTCTCTGCTAAACATCAAATAAATAACTAAATAAATTAATTAATGGAAGTACAGTAGCTTTCCTGTCCACCGAACAGAGATTGGTTTGTGTTTCTGAGCTCTGAATGTTTGCGAGTGTTCACTGATAGGCCGTATCAGAGCTGCAGTGTTTGAGGAAGGGAAGGCAGTTTTGCAGAACTTGCTGAAAGGTTACATAAGGCACAATTGTGATTACGCTGTTTGAATTCTGTTGTGTACAAAACGTATTTACACTGACTTCCAGAAAGGCAAACTTCCATAACAATTGTCTATATGTGCCACATGAAGAACAAAGGAGTTAGTGACCCATTTGTGCGTGCTGGGTCGGGAAATGCTAGAAGTGTCTATTTCTAGTAAATGGTAGCTGGCTGTACCTGAGCCCAATGTTTTCCATTGCTGTGCAGTGTGAGACTCCTGGTGAACAATTCCCCAGGCGTGGGAGGCTCAAATCTCTGAAAAGGCGTAGCCAGATCTTTTAGCATCCTGTTTAAGAAGAGCAGAGAAGAGACAGACCTCAGTATGCACTGCATCTATACAGGGCAATATGTAAATGTCTCAAGGGCACTAGTTTTTCTCCCTCAGGATGAAATGTTAGAGCAAAGGACAGCCTTCCAGGTAAGCTGGCAAAGGAGTGGCAATTAAATGCAGAAGGCAAAAGCTGCTCTTTAGTACACAAGACATTATTAGAACAAGGGAGCAGCACTGGGCACACTGCAACAGCCAGTATGAACCAAGCAAGCTTGTATGGTGGGAGTATTTGAGGTGTGAGATGCCAACACCACTCGAGTGAGAGCAGCCGTGTCCTGACAATTTCCTGTATGGTCACCTTTGTAATATACAGGTTGATTTTGGAGTGCAGGCTGACTGGCCTCAACAGAATTGAGATTTCTGCCTTCCAGCTTACAGCCCTGTCTCCCAACTGCTGTCTGAGGCTGCCAGCAGGGATTTAGTTCAATGCTGAAATCCTTGCAGGTGTGAGTCTGAATAATGTGCCAAACTATGCATGTCCGTGTGGCAGCTCAGATGCGATACCCGTGCTACCTCATGCTGGAGCTGGAAGAATTAAGTGTCATAGCCCTTGTGTACTTGCAGATGGTCCTGCCAGGAGAGGTGGAGCTAGTGCCCTGCAGAGAGAGAGGAGAGAATGCTGCAGATGAGGTGGGAAAATCAACAGCTAAAATATGAAATGCTGTTGCCAGATTTAGACAACTAGAATAAATTACAAAAGGTGGCAAAGAACTTGTGACTACTTTGGGTTTGTGACCACTTTGCATTTTGCTTGGGCTTTTGAAATATGATGTCTCCATGTTACTGAGATTCCCTGATTATTTGACCAAGAGTTAAGTGAGGTCACATAAGAGGAGATGTGTATCACTGCTTAGTTTTGCTGTGTGTCTGTGACAGAAGAGACTCTTTGTCTTGATTGCTGACTTCTTGCCCACTCTCCTGATTTATCCTATTGGCAGGAATGCATGGCGCCAGTAGGCTGGCTCAAGACAGCTTTCTAACAAAAATCTTTGGCCAAAAGGAGAATCACATGGTGTCTGTATTCCATGTTCCTATTGTCTGGCTTGTGCTGGAACTACTGGTGTCAGGAGTGTCACAGTCCCAGTGGCACCAATGATACCAGTGGTAGGTGAGAGGTGACATCCTTTAGAGAACAGTGTTTTATGGAGTAGCAAGGCAAGCTGGGAGTGGAGGGTGACAGTAAGGCATGCATAACAGTGGCTTTATTAGCAAGTACCACAGCACCCAAGCAAGAATAGCAAAGCAATTCTGGTGGTGGCTAGAAGTTCAGCCAAGAGTAGAGATCACCAGTAACCATCCCAGTGAACACAGTGACAAGAGATCTGAGGTCAAGCCAGAAAAGCCAAGCCAGTGAGTCAGGGTCAGAATCGGGTTCAGTGACAATAACCAGGACCAACCAGCCGCCAGTCTGGTCATCATCAGACAAGCCCATAATGATGGGAAGGATCCAAGATCATCTCAGTTGGGTCAGGGTCCGGATCAGTGTGTGTGGCCAGGCACAGCCATACCTGTAACATAGCTGAGGCAAGGACTGAGGGAGAGTGCTTCAGTGTAGGCACGGCTCTTGAGCAAAGTAGGTGGCCCTCGATTCTTAGAGCTCCTTTTCACACAGCACTCTAATCCAAGGTCACTCAGCTGCACCACGACAGAGCTGCCTTTGAGCACAGGCAGCTTAGTGCTGACTAAGCCCCCTAAGAAAAGGTGTCATTAAGAACTTCACCCCAGCTGAGGGACATACATATGTGACTGACTCAGTTTATGTGGCTTAGTATTTGTGTGCCAGGGTTTATTTTAAAGACATGTAAACCATCATAATTTACGACCAGGTGGAGGCATGGCCAAACATACTCTCTGTACACTACTAAATGTTGTAAAGAATTCAGAATTGAATGAATAATATAGATCCTTTATTCAAATGGGTGTATTTTTCTCCTCTTTTGACACAATGCTCCTGTTATCTTGGCATACAAAATTCTTTGGATTTTCTTTTTCCTTTCTGCTGAGCCTTAAGACATGACTGTCTTTGAACTCAAAAGAGGATCTCAAGCTCATCCAAACCTGGAAAAGGAGCCATGCTAAGGCATTCCTTGAGAAAATATTGTGAAATACCTGTGTTTTTAGTGACTTGCCAGGACTGACAGGCCTTCAGAGTGTGTGCCTCCAAGCAGTGCCATGGTCCTCTCTCTGGAACACTTAATGCTACAAATGCTGTCAGCAGTGACATGTAGTCACACCGCTGAAAATAAATTGCCTACGACAAATTACAGCCCCCTCAGTTCTGGCTATGGTTGCTACAGTGGAATGCTTGCTTGGGGGTTGACTTGACTGTGCAGGCAGAAGGAACTCATTCACTTCCTTTGCATTGGTAGGGCACCTAGTCTTGTGTCTTGGGAGAAAAAATAAGACTTAGAAGGGAAAGCTCATGTCAGGTCTTCATTGGGAAGGTGCTCAGATGAATGCATGTAGTTCCAGGTGTGTCTGATTAGTTCTCACAGAACTCCTCTTATTTCTGAGATAGGGATTGCAAGTGACATGAATTTTTAGTGGGCAGCAGTAGCCAAGAGGTGCAGCTTTTTTCCCTTTGAATGCTGGAACACATATTGGAGGGCTAAGCAGTTCCTGATATAATATTTCAGCAGTATTACACTGTAGCAAAAAATACACACCACCTGTGTTGGAGGTCTTTTCAGATTTACATTACTTACCTCATGTCTTCTTGCTTATATTTTGGAAGCCTGATCAGTTGTGGTCTAAGCACATCCAAGAACCCCAAGTCCAGAATAAAATAAATGTGATGGCAGGCTCACTACTAGAGTTACTATTATTAGTTCCTGAGGGAGTTTTTGTCTTAACTGATGGATTAACGTCAGACACTGAGGGAAGCTCATGATATCTCTAGGTGGCTGAAGTCCAAAGCTGTAAGGTGTAGGTGCACAGTTTGTGGAAATTGGGAATGGGGCTGCGGCTGAGCCTCATCCCCAATGGGCACAGCTGTGAGAAGCAGGCGAGCGTTGGGAAGTTGGGGATGGGCTGAGCCTCATCCCCAATGGGCACAGCTGTGAGAAGCAGGCGAGCAGCACTGACAGCAATGAGCCTGGAGTGCCGGGGGCACTGACCAACCACAAAAAGGTAGAGAGGACACACAGGTGCAGTGGATGAACATGAGGGCTATAAAAGGCTGGGCTAAAGAACAAGCAGGGCAGCTGCTTGAAGCCTTTTGAAGTTGTGTGGTGTTACTCTGTGTGGGCTGATGCTTGAAGCCTTCTGCAATTGTGTGGTAATACTGTGTATTGTGCTTGTCTCAGCTGCGACAGTAAGGTGGCACAAAACTAGCTCATTTTTTTTTTTCCCTTAATTTCAGCAGCCCTGTGTGTATGAACACACAGGAGACATTTTGAAGGGAAAAGAAAGCAGTCAGGAATGAAGTTTGATTATTTATGGTGAGCAGATGGATTTAGAAAGTCTGCCTGCTGAGACAGAGGCATGACTCTGCAAATCAGGTAAGTGCCTAGTGGTCACAGATAAATCCTCTCCACAGCCTTGGTACTATGTGTATGGTGCTTCATACTATGTGTATGGTGCTGGAGGCGTATATTGTACTCAAATTTACAATCCTTTTTAATGTAACAACTTCTGTAATAGAGTATGTGTAGACTTTATGAAACACTGTGTATTTATACAGCTGAGCACATTCTCAGTGGCACACTACCCTTTCTTTCCTGGCAGGGAGTTTCAGCTGCCTTTCTAATCCTGATATTTTGTCTCTTTTTATCTAGGTTATACTGATACTTACCTCCATTTTCTGAGGCAGATTCTTCACTCCATATATATGATTTATTCATGCCAAGTTTTCTTGGACCTCAATAAGAATTTTTCCTGGTAAGTCATGACAAAACAATGCATACTTAGGCTCCCTGGCCATTATTAATTTCATGTCTAAGTTTGCTTGTCTGAACTTTGACTGTCACTGCCAATAGCAACTGACCACAAACATTATCCTTAACAGTAACAGCATTACAGACCAACTGTGCCCCCATGGAAGAAGAAAGATAAGACTCTGACAAACATAAAGCCCTTGCAAACATTTTGCAATAGCTAATAAGATTTTGTTGGAATAAGGATTAACACATTTTTCTAAACAAAAAACATACATGACTCTATGTTTGTCTCTAGCTTATTGTTTCTTGTGGAGCAAGCTGTAGCAAACAAATGACTTTGAATAATGAATATAATTGCTGTTGTAAAACTGTTGTAAGGTCACGTATTTCATGGCTCTTAAGGCCTTGTGTGTTGTCAGTTTGTGTCTTGCTTCACTTGGTTCTCTGTCTTTTGCAAAATTTTGTGTTTCCTAATATCAACCACTAAGTTCATGCTAAGAATTACCCAGGAAAACCAGCCACCTTTTGCTATTCTGAAATGAAATATATATGTAATTTTAGACGCAGGCTCAGGTTGGAACATAAAATTCAAAGTTACTTCCATCCTTCCAAATTATTTAATATATCATATTATTTAATATGCATAGAATTAGGGGACTGTGACCCAGCCATTCTGCAGCATGCAATACAGTAATCAAGAGTATGCATCTTGTTTGTTTTAGAACACATTACTATTACATTAGAATGCTGTTGACCCAACTGGTTAGCCAATATCAGTGTAGGAGAATCTGATATTTCTCTGTTTCTGCCACACTGTTTTTTGTCAGTGTGCAGAGAGAGTCATTCCTTTGAAAATCATGCAGGATTAAATAACAGGAGACAATGCTCCAGTCTCATTTCTACCAATGCTCCTGCCAAAATCCTTTTATGCTTACATTCCCATGTCCTCTTCTATCCATTTGCCAGGCCCTTGGCTGTGCTCTCCTGCCCTGTTGGCAATACACAGCTGCGATCGATACTTTGTGTTTGTATTTGCTGGGGCACTTTTAACTGCACTGTTCAAGCACTTCAATGAGACAATGAGTTTCCATTGCTGCAACAGCCATAAAATGGAAAGACCCTAACTTGCCATCAGCTGTACACCCTACTGGACATGCTACCTGTGCCAGTGACAGCTGGGAGCATGCTGATAGCATTTCTGTTCCTCCTGAACAGCACCTTGACATGCATTTGCCCATCCCTTAGGAGAGCTGGCCTCCCTTGCCTTGGGCAGCAAGCATTTTGCTCTGTTTGCTGTGTAGGTCAGTTGCTCAGCTGTGGTTTTTTGTTTTGGTCTTGAACAATTCTGGTCCCAGGAAACAGATTTTTCTGTCCTTCCCCTTGATGCAGATGAGAAAGACAAGGCAGCAACACCTTTCAATAATTTCTTTTCAAAACACATGTAATTGTGCAAGAAGTCCCTTTTATTCCAGCATAAAGGGTTAGTCCTATTTGTATTCAGTAACAAAAAGTCCAAATAAAACAGCATAGCAAAACAGATGAGACAGGAACTTTTTGTATCTGCCAGTCCAAATGTTTGCTCTTTCAGGTATGTCCATCATATCATATAACCTCTTAAATGAACACATTCAGCTGCATTTTAATTCTAGCAAGTATCTTATTCCCCCCATCTTCATATGGAAAGCTGTTTCCAAAGATCAGCCTTCTAGTTATCAGAAAAATTTCTTTGTACCTAGCACATATCAGTTTGTCTTGCTGCTAAACCTCACCTTGACCTCTTCCGTGATGTTTACACTTCTGTGGGCAGCTGTTTTCTTTCTGACCCTCTGTTTTTCAGGGTGCTATGCATATTCCCTGGAGCAATATGCTCCCTTTGTAGTTAGAGTATTTAAATAAATCATCTAATTTGGAAGCCAAGTCAGAACTTGGGTAGGCTGAATGACTGGAGGTGACCATCTCCTTCCACTGACTACAGGAGACCCTGGTGACTATGCTCCTATTTTGTGTCTTTGTGAAGTGCCTGAAGTTGGGCAGCATGAATCTGGGCTTCAGTGCTGTTGTTTGTTTCTCTTGACTGGTCTTGAATTCTTTCTGTGCACTGGTTCCCATGGCAATTCTTCTTTCTTGAACATAGATGACCAGTATTCCAAATGAATTCTCCTAAGTGTCATTGATCGCTTTTCTATCTCTCTGTCAATTGGAAGTGCCCTGTCTGTCTGAAATAGTTTACCATTATGTTTATTTTAAACAGGCCTGAAATTTGTATTGTATTTCTTTCCTCCTTCCCCATGATGTAGAGTACATTATCGCCCTAGCTGACACCTGAAATGCTTTTAAATCCTGAAATCCCTGATCTTTAACCATGGGTTATTAATTCTTACTTTATTTCTGTCACCCTGGTCTTCATAGTCAATTCTTCCTAGGCAGTGTTTAAAATGTCCTTTATAGAGGTACCACCTTCCAATTTACATGGCAATTTTAAGTTCCATTAACAACCCCTTGTTTCTGATGTCCTGGTAATTAGTGGCAGCATTAGGCTGCTTCCTCTGAAGAGCAAGAAATTCCTGTCAGAAGTCCACATTTTTGTGTTGCATAGTCACCCCTTTGTATACGTTTGCCAGGCTGCCCAAATAATGAGTATTGAAAGATGTTCCTTACTCATATTTCTGTTCTTGAAATGGAGGGAAATCTAACAATAAAGCTGTTACAATCTACCATGTAATTGCAGTTTTTTCCATTCCATCATTGGCAACTGCTGCTTGTTTGAAATATTATTGTTTAACTGCTTTGTATATGAAAGGTGATTTCTCACTGCAAGTCACACTGAAGCTGCAGGGACCTGCTGAAGCTCATGTTCCTCTCTCTGAATCATATGCAGACTTCATGCTTCACTTTACACTAAAAATTGAAAATAAGAGTGGTTCTTTATTGGAGGGAAGAGATGGTTTCAGCTGCTGGTTTACAGAGAGCTGATTAAGGAAGACAGGGAGAAAATTGTCAGGGTCATGTCCAAGGAAGGAAGATCTTTTTCTGTGGTATCAAAAGAGATGGTAGCTACATGGCTTTTTTTCTACCAAAGCCAAAGCATGTAAGTACCTGGCTGTATGCCTTATGGTTATCTCAAGATCAAAATCCTGGCACATCCCAGATACTTCTGCATTCCTGCCTTTCTCTTCCCCACAGGATGACTGTGTGACTCCCTTCTCATCTCTGTATTCACTGTCTCCAAGCTCTCCCTCACTCCAGGCCTTGTGTCCCACCTGCATCTGGGTTCACTTTTCCTTTCTCAAGTGGTTCAGTGTCCTATATGTCCTCTTCCCTCAGAATGGCCACCATGAGTCACCTCTCTTTCATCTTGCTCCTCTTCTCTTTCACAGACTTATTTGAACACTTGGAACTTAAACTGAGAAGACTGAGATATTTTCAATTATTTCATCAACTTATTTTTTCAGAGGTGGGCTATTCCAGCTGCTGTTGGAAGTGTGACACATGCTAGCTGGAGGCTCCAACTACTGCTTTCTGGTTGACTGGTCTCAGAACCAGGCAATTCCTGCTCAAGGATGTCTGTAATATTCTTCCAATACTCTGTAAATGATTGAATGCCAAGTTGTACAGTGACCCTATTACAGGCAAACATAAATAAGCAGACATGGCTATGAAGGGTTTTTGTGGGTCCTGGCTTTATCTCCCAAAAGAGTGGCCTCAAAAGCTGCATTGCCCTTTCAAGCAGTGATGTATAAAATTAAAATAATGAAATTGCCAATGCTAAGTAGTCACCATTTGCTCAAAGAGAAACTATACAGAAGAGCTCTTGCACCAAGGGGAGGAAAGTATGTATCCAGCAGGAGTTGGAGAGCTCTTTCCAACAACAACAACAAAAAAAATGCTCTCAGATGCAGATAGAGAAAAGAGGGTGTGGACAGAGCAGAAATAGGGTGCAACCCATATAAAAAACTGCTGTGCAATCTGTGGAGTGCAGGGGATGTACAGTGCAAGAATGTTTAGGTTTTCCAGTTACTGTCAATGCTGCCCAAAAATAATGACTCATTCAAATATGCTTAAGAACTGCATTTTAAAATTAAGAATCTGGACAGACAGGTACTGACATGGAAATGTACACAACAGTTTGTTTAAACAGTGTCTTTCACAACCAGCTACTCAGTGACACGTGACAAGCCACAATACTTCTGCCACGTCAGTTGCCTATGCCATATGTCCCAGCTTTGTCACCTTGGTCTGAGTCTGTGCCTTGGCACACCCACTGCACTGATGTGCTTATATGTCACACAAATCTCATCTACTCTGAAGCATGTTTCAGACCTGAGGATAGAGAGAGCAAAATCTTAGTCTTGTTGGGCTCCTGATGTTCCTATTCTTTCAAGGTTTTTCTATGCATTTGAGCAATTTTTTAGATTGCTTAAAAAAAGCAAAATTTTATCATGACAAGTGTTGTGTAAATATTCGTCTCCAAGAGAAACTTTTGGAAAATACACGCATGTTTGATGTCGGAAATACTGAATTTCATTTGAGGTCTGTGGGTAAAGAACATGCTGTCTTCCTGATTAGTCACAGTAAAAGACCCTTAAGACAGAAGCAGAAACAGGAAACTGTTAAAAAAAAAAGAGAAAAAGATGTGTCCCTGCATCAGTTTCATGTTGAGTATTTGTGTACTCCACATGGGTGAGATCTTCTGCCTCCAGCTTGCTTCATATAAGAGAGAAAAACACTGAACATAGTGCCTGCTGGACCCTCATCACGCACTAAAGGAGCATAGCTGTGGCATGTCTCAAACAGACAATGTGCCTGCAGACTCAGAGATTCCCCTGTGGCCTCTATGCCATCATCTCTGCTGCCTGTCCCTGCAGGCAGCAGCAGGGAGGGATTGCACCCCCATCCCTGAGGGGGTTCAAAGTGCCCTGTGCTGAGTGTCATGAATAGTGGAGCAGAGGCACAGTGGCAGGAGCCAGAGATGAGGCCTCGTGAGCTGCGGGGTTGAGGTGGTAATCACAGTGTGTAGTGCCAGCAGCATTCCTCTGCCTTGAGGTCAGCACCCTAAACCAGTCAGACTGATGCCAACACCTCACCACACCTGCCAGTAATGTCATTAAAAACCACATCCTCATCTCCAAAATATCAGCACTAAAGCCCTGTGCAGACCTTGACTGCCTTTTTGGCAGCCCTACTCCCAGCCATCAGGCACCTCCGTGGGGATGGGGACAGCCTGAGGCCAGGTTGGGACATCAGCCTGCATGTGTGGTGGGGTCAGGAGCAGGCCTGGTAAGGGATGTCCTTACACCTAGCGTGTCCACTCCACTAGTCCCCCTGCTGTTTCTGGGACAGAGACACTGGGGTTAGGACTGAAAACAGTATGAACAAGGCTATAATGGAAAAGATAAGATAGTGCAAGGTAGAATACAGTACAATGCAGTATTGTATTGTGTAAGATATTACTGCTGTGGTTATGAAAGTTGATCAAGTGACCAGGCAGGACAAGGTCATGCTATCAGGTTGTTTTCCATTTGTATCATTTTTGGCGTGGGTTTTTTGTTTGGTGGTAGTTGTTTTTTGCTGTTGTTAGATTTCACTGCTGAACCTAGAGAAAGCTCCCTTTTGCCTGGTGGCACTGGTGAGAGCCCATCACTATTCCAGCCTGTATAACAAATCTGTTTCTAAGTATGGGTGTTTCAGAGGGCATCTCATTTTTAAAGGAGGCTCACAAAAATGCTCTGTGTTGCTACTATTAAAGGCAGCCAGCACCCACACTGAAGTAGGGAGAGGGGTGGAACTCACAAGCCTCCGAGTGCCCTTTCCTCCTTCTGCAGGGCAAAGCTGATGGAGCAAAAAAGCCAGAGCAGGCCCCTCATGGATGCTGCTGTCCAGGACCTCCATGCTTCTCTGTGATACCATACCTCTCCAGGCCTTTTTGGTCAGAGGGCAGTTAGGCATTATATTCCTCTTCCTGTACCACAGAACTTTTATATTTTTAATTGTACCTAAAATTATAAAATATCTTTAAATCTCTCTAGTCTATTTATATGTTATATAATTAGGGCTGGAGGAATGAGACATACGCTATAGATCAACATACCAGTAATGCTACATGTACCTTCTCTTCCATTTTTTATTTAAAAGTATCTAAGACCAGTAGGATAACATGCTGAAAATATAAATCATGTTGCCTTTTGATGTAATTGAGGAGCTAGAAATAAGGAAGAGAAACACAGTATTATAGACCCATGTACGATGAATACTCACTGTGGCTTGTAGTAAAATTTTTAACACAGGTAGTAATAGGACATAATTGCAATTGAGGTGTTTAAGAAAGGGTGCTTCTCATACAAACTAACCACAGGAACAATTAGAAGTGCAAAAGTCCACGTTCCTCATGTGCTCTTAGTCACAAAGTGTATTCAACTATGAACAAACCCAGAGGTTGTGATCTTCTCTTCTGAAAATCAACTAACCTCATAATTACAGGTTTTTATATAACTAAAGGAGACTTCTTTTGATCTGCATTTCTTTTAGACAGTTTTGCTTTACATCCAAATAATCACTGACCTGGGTTGCACAGGGGACGTCTCTGAGCAGTATAAGTGAGATTTTCTTTCAATAAAGCTCCCTTTGCCCTGAGGGTTGTGTATCTTTAATTTACAGAAGGCAAAATTGCTTGGAAGTCTCTACCATGATTGAAGTGGCTTGTAGTTACAAAAATCATGTATTCCTCCTGGCAATATTATCCTTTTTTAACTCAAGCAAGCCCCATAAAACCTTAGAATATAATTTGTTTCCAGTAGTCACAACTAATTTCTCACTAATGGAAAGAGTGCGATGCAGGACAGATTGATTTCCATAAACATGATTTATTGTGTTATCTGTCTCATTAAAACAAGCAATTAGCCAAAGCTTTTAGTGTTACCGACTTTTCTGTGAGGATACATTGGTGATGAAAGCACATGTTTGTTCAGGATGGGAGTTCCTGTTCATTCACAGAGGCAGCAAGATGACTTACAGCCCCAAATTTGACAAGAAACATGACAAAGAGCTGTGTCTTTTCTCACCACTCCAATTCCTTTTCAGGAGAGTACATAACTAGCAACCTTTGCCTCCTAACCCTTTGTGGGGACACATGCCTGTGGTTGTCCTTGCTGTGCTGAAAGGCATGCACCAGGGCAGAGCTGGGACTTTGCCACAGCCCCCAACTCCACTACTCCTTCTGCTCAGTGGCACACAAACATTACCCCCTGGTGGGGAAGCTCATTTTCCCCATATGTTCTTAATTTTGGGCAATAAATAAATAATATGCTTGGAACAAAGGCTTGTAACTGAGGCCGAGACAGTTTTGCATTTATCATGCATGATAAATCCTGGCTGTGGTAACACAGGCATCCATGCCAGAAAATTCAGCAGCTGTATTACCCTGAAGACCGGTCTGTATTTAGAAGGGTAAATAAGATTCTTTTTTTCCTCAGTGGTTGCTGACAAAGTTTGTAACAGGTCTAATAATGCTTGTGTCCTGTGGGAAATATGTATGGTAATTTGCCTGTGTAAACACTCATTTCTCCTAAGTAGATGTTCTGTCTGGCTCTGCATGTCCCTTCACCTGTTTTAGAAAAACAGTTAAATAAGCAGCTTGTTCTCTGTGCCTCTTCTCACCAAACCAGAGACATGGGTCAAAGTCCAGCAGCTCTAAACGCCATCTCTGACCTTTATATTTTTGCAGACTCTCCCCTGCCCTCCTCTGCTGTAGACTCAAATGCTTTCTCTTCCATGCCATGAAGATCAGATGAATTAAAGCTACTTCAGACCTTTTTGGTCTTGGTAGCCTGGGAAAGTCATGCCTTCCAACAGTTTTATTTATTGACGTCTATCTGTGGCCTTTGGAACTTACGTGGTGAAAAAATGACCTTCAGATCCTGGGAAGGGATCCCATAGTTCCTTTCACGTTTTGTAGCTCTTTTTTTTCATATCTTTTGGTGTCTACAGCTGTGAAGACTGCTTTGCTTGGTTTTCCAAAACAATTTTTAAACGTTGGTTGACAATCGTGTTGTTGTTGCTCAGCATGAGAGATCGTTTCTGAATGGAGGGCATGAAGTGGTTTCCATTGCTGCCATCTCCTGGCACAGTTAATGAACTCCACACAGCAATAACAAAGGCACATTAGTGGGGAAGAGAAATTAAACATACTAAAATAGCATATAAATTTTCCTGAAGGCAGCTGGTAGATGCCAGGAAAGCATTTTAAAAGATAATACACACCAGAAGGACCACTGCCAGATGGAAATTTCAATGTCAAAGGAATTGCCTTTCTTGTTGTTGTAGTACCAATGTAACATCCAGGATGATATTAGAAAACATATGGAAAAAAATTGTATTTCTCTGTGTTTTGGTAGGCGTTTGACACAATGACTCTGCAATCAATTTTATGGTTTTGATGGAGTAATTTCTCTGCTGTTTGAAGAGCTCTTTCAGAGTAGGAAAAAAGAAAATATTTTGGGGTTTAAGCAGGTAGATGCTTAATGCTTTAACAATTGAAATTATGCATCAAAGTTCAAGGTGAGGTGCAAGGTTAGAAATGTTTTTGATTAACACTTCTGGAACAGATAACCTGACAGTGTCCCTATAATTGCTGTTGTTTGGTAACTGTGGTAAATGAAAGAATAATTAATAAATCTCCTGGAGTTCAGTAAAGGCAAAATAAGAAATACAGTGGGCAATAAATAAATAAATATCTTCAGGTGCTGTTTTTGCTGCATACTCAACACATTTCACTGCAAAAAAAAACCCCAGTCTTTGCTGTGCTTTGCAAAGAGAGCAACTCTGTGAGGTGCACAGCTGAATCCAGTGGGAATCCATCATACCAATAGAAAATACATTGAATTTCTGCCCTTCTTTTGTGAACAAAAGCACGGTAATCTGTCTGTATTTCCTTCATTCATTCTGTATTTTAGATTTTTTAGAGTTTTCTCATTGCTTTGGCTTGCTTGTGAGTTCAAATAAAATTTTAATGATTTAAAGAGGCACAAAACTACTCAATGTTTCCCGACATCCCACCTATATGCTTCAACTGCAAGCTTCACTAATCCTCAGAAATTCATTGTGGGAGAGATGGAGCGCTCGATAGCTTTTTGATCTCTTCCACAATCGTTACTCCATTCATCAGCCAGCCAGCTGGCTGCATCAGCTCCCTTTGGAGTGCCTTTCCCTGACTAAGCAGTGCTGCCATAAAACTGCATTGTATCCCCGTTCTCTGCCCTTCCTCCACAGATGTGACTGTTTCAATGGGCATACACAGTCCCTCAGCAAAGCTAAAATACTGCTCTGCCAAGTTCCTCTTGGCCAAGATACTTCCTGATGCTGATTTTGTTTTTTTTCCTAAGAGCTTCTGCAAACCACGTACCTTTCCCACTCCAAGGACAGAATATCTTTGGTTTACCCTGGCTGGCAACCTGCCAATATGGCATCCAGGTTTCTGGAGTTAAGAATGGTTTACATATGATCAGACAAAATTATTTTGGGATCAAAAAAGTTTTGGCAGTGCACATCACTCTGGGGCATAGTCATTTATGCTTAAGAAACATTTTAATTTATAAATGAACATAAACCTCAGAAATATAAAACTTAACCTTTTAGCTGAGCTAATTTTCTTTTCATTGTGGAGTAAAGTAAAATTCCTTGATAAAATGTTCTGTAGAAATCCCTACCCCATGCAATGAACTAAGTAATTTTTACCTGTAAATCTATTTTTAATCTCACTATCAATTGCCATGTGAAATACAACTGGCTCTCATGAAACTGCTCAAGAATAACCATGATCAGAATTTGGGCTTACTTTGATATTACTGCTATTCAGAATAAAATAACCAAGGATGCACTTCTTTTTGCTCTACTTATGGCCTTCCTAGTTCATGTGTCACAATAAGAAGATGGGCAAGAAAAATTAGCACACATTAGAGACAAGTGACCTAATGAAGAATTCATGGGGAGGCACAGGATGAGCAGGGACTGCACAAGAAGTGCACTGTGACAACCACGGTGCTGGGAGGGTGTCTGGTGTGATTCAAGGCTGCTTACAGCAGTGAACCTCAGATTTATTGCTTTCTCAAAGAACAGATGAGAATGAAGGTACACAGAAAATATAAAATATTTATCGTTTATTTGTTTTTCCATTACCACTATAAATGGCAGATGTACCTGTGGGAAAACTCCCCCTATCTTTGTCACAGGCAGATGCCTGGGAGCATTTGCAGGTGGATCACAGCCTGAACAAAGCATTTCAGTGAGCTCTGTGTGTGCATATGGAACAGGAGGAATGCTGAAAGCACACATGTTTGAGTGTAGTGGCTGTGCAAGTGAGGATCAGAGCACGTTCCAAAATGTTTCCACTGCACTTATACTGCTCAGTAATTTTAGCATTAACCCCAAGAAGGAAATGGGAAATAGGCTCAGTGAACAACAGGCTCACCCTTCCCTGAAGGTATTTTGCACTAATGGGGTAAATGCTGTTTTGCTGTTGACTGTGTTATACCTCTCCCCCATCTAAAGAAGGGACCAGTGTTGCCATGTTTTCCAGCCCAGCAGTTTTCCCAGGCACACATTTTCATCAACATGCAAGAGTTAATTCCAAGTGTTTGTTCTATGCACAAAGTTGAGTTCCTACAGATCATTTCAAATGATCCTCCCATGCATCCTGGTCACCTGCTCACCATCTCTGCACTCACTGTCCAGATTTCTGCTGTATCTTTTACTCTTTCTCTCATTTCTGTACATCACGTTTTCACTAATTCCTCACTGGTGGTGGTGCTTTATCTTCCTCTCATGCCTCTATATTTTTGGCAGCCCAAGAGGTAACATATGCTCTGTGGGGTTCAGAGCTCCACGGGTGCTGCCCGTTGTGCCAGCAAGCGCATGCTGTTCACGCAGCAGAGCCGTGCCTCCCGCGGGAGGAGGGCTGAGCTACCCTTTCCTCTCCTCCTCCGGGGCACTTCCTCAGCCCTCTCTACCAGTCACCTGCATTTTTTTGATCCTCGTAGGAACTAAATATCTTTGAGACTCCTACTTCTTTGGCAGATTTGGTAAAAATAGCAGGATGGCTTCAGAAGTGTTTGCACAGTGGGAAGGCAGATAGGAGGAGAGGCAGTCACTGCAATTACACTACTCCAATTCCTTTGAAAATAGAACTTAAAAATTAATTACTTTGGAAAATGGATCATAAGGAATTGGACTCAGTACCCTCTCCTTTTGTCTACCAGATTTCTTGTCTCTCATCCTGCCTTTGTATCACAAGATCCACAAGGCAAGGAACATATTTTGCTCTCTGTTTTCTCTATTACCATGAAGAATCAATGTAGTAACAGATAGAAATACACAGGACTTAGCAATATTTTTTTCTATATGGCAATTGCTTCTTACAACGCTGTTTTAAAAGCCCCAGCACATGGAGCCAATGAACTCAGAACTGCAATATGATGAAGATATGCAAGATGCCCCTTGATCTCTTCCCCCAACTGCTCTTTTCCCCACCCTATACCTTTTTGGTTTGGTTTGGTTTTGGTTGGGGTTTTTTTTGTTGCAATGACCTTCTGTCACTCAGCATGCCAGGTCTCAATTCCAAATCTGTTGTCATGGAGATTTGGGCCAGCACTCCTCCGGGACTGTGTGCCTCTCTCAGCCATCCCAGTGACAATTCCTGAGCAAACCTGGAGCATGGTCCCCAGCAATATCTGCCTGCAACACGAAGCCTGCTGGCACCACCAGGGAAGCACCTGGTGAGTGTAATGCAGGGAGACAAACTCTGAATTGTTAAAAACCCAGGGGTTTTCCAGATTTCCCTGCAAATCTGCAAGCTAAGCACAGGAGGTCACCCTCTGGCTGGCTGCACTGCTGCAGCATTGTTATAGTGAAATAATAAAGAAAGAAGGGCTGTTTTCATAATATCTCTAGGGGGTCTGAAGAAGATGAAGTGGCTGAAACTTTGCCTTGATATTCTCATTGTCAAGGGACTAAGGATGAGTGACACCGTAAAATAATGAGTGAGCTTAGAGTTAAATTTTCTTTCTTTTCAGTTTGAACAGTAGGATAAGTGATTGATATTCTTACATATTACGAGGGGAACAGAAAGACAGGGGTTAGCTCACAAATGAAGAAAAGACAGTCTTAAATATCTCATCAAGATGAATATATGAAGAACACTGTAAACAGATAAGAGTAAGCCTCTTCTCAGTGGCTTGAAATATGGCAATATTTATGACTGCTCTTTAGCAAATTTGCCTGTCTCAGGTAGCTTGTCAAATGAAAATTAAAATTTCTCTTTTTCAAAAGTAGTAGGCTAAAGCTATGATGCTGAATCACCATTTCCACTCTTCTGTTCCTGTGTTGAAGGTCTTGCCTGCTCCTTGCATGTTAATCCATTCCTCAAATCCACAGAACTCATTATGTTCTGCCTGTAATCCAGCCCTGAGGCGACAGAGGATATTGCTGTTTGCACCTGCTAAAGCAGAAATGAACCGGAGCTGGGGAGTTTCCCAGAAGCTTTGTTTCTGTTTTTATGCACTTCGGATACCTGCTGTTACCCTTAGTTTGAACCCAGTAACTGTGATGTTTGGCAAGAGGGCAGATATAGATATCACATGAGAAAGGCCAAGGGCTCAGCCATCTAGCTGCATGGTATTATTGGTGTTGGCCCTTGCAAAGTTACCCCTCAAGACTCTCTGAATACCAAAACTGCCCTAGGGGAAGCTGGAGACCCCTGAGCAAATTCCCATCTCCTGCATGGGAGCCCAGCAGAGTGGACAAGGTCTGCCTCAAGCTAGATCATAGTATGGGAAGATGTAAAGTCCTGCCTGACTATGAATTAGAGAGGGTGGGAGGAGCTGATGTGCTCTTTGTTCAGTGTGAACAAGGGGGACTTCTCAAGGGACTTTCTGGGTGTGCTGGCCCTTCCCAGCACTGGCTGGCAGGTGGATGCCACGGCAGTCAGTGCCCTGGTGGGCATGGCCTGGCAGCAGAGACACATGGCTGAGGGCTGCAAAAGCACAGGAGACAGCACAGGAAAATCCTGCTGGCTGCTCTGGGCTGGGCCTGGAAACCATAGCTGCTTTTGCTTTCTGCTTCCAGCTGTGATGCCAGCTGGTTCCTGCTGGGTGCAGGCAGGAGGAGAAGGTTCCTGCTGTAGCTCCTGGGGTATTGCCTAGTGAAATAAATGAGCAGGAGATCTTTCTCCTTTTTAATGCCTTTATTAAGAAGAATCAGCTCAGGTGGGGAGAAATCGACGGGTCGCGCCCACACCGCCGCTGCTCCCAGGCGTGGCATGGAGAAGGAGGGTGATGCAGCTTTGTCCGCTGGTCTGCAGACAGAGCTGGGGAGTCCGTCCTCATGAGAAATTAGCAGATTCCACCTTTTTGGTCTAACACTCCGGGTCGTCTCTT